TTGCAATAGTCAATCACTGTACTGGGTGACCTTGTTACTTGGTTGTATTGTACCAAGAAGGCTGCAACCCTGTAACACTACTATTAAATTTTAATTAAGGATTCTAAAACAAATACATCATCAAAATAAGACAATTGTAATGCAACTCGAGATTTTGATTCAATTTCGCTAAAACTTAGCATTAAATATTATGGGTCAATGCTAATTAAATAAAAAAAGAATTTATTTCAAAATTTGATTTTCAGGTGATGCATTTTTTTGAGGTGCCATTGTATAATGCTGAGTAGCAATTATATTTTTAAGCACTGATTATGCGAAGACTAAAATGATCAGTTATCAAGTATATTAATAACTCAAGAATTTCTAAATCAATTTTAATGATTTTACTATCATTAGAACCAGAAAGGTCTGAGGAACAAGTTTTCTTAAGACTACTAAAGAAATTTACTTAATAAAAATACTCTCGATTTAAAGCATTTTTGTTTAATAGGGGTATGAATATCAAAAATGGGAGTATAAATATCAATTCCTCTTTAATAATACGTAACTTCAAGTGCCCTAATTTCTCTTTACAGTTCTGAATCTTTAATATGTTAAAGTAGATTACACCATTTTCGTCTACCAATCAAATTACAATCAAAATCTTGTACGTATAAGAATTACAAAATAAATAAATAAATAAATAAAATAAGGCATTCAAAAATCCCGGAATTTTGCTTGCGAAATCATTTTTGCGTCCTAAAAAAAAAAAAAAAAAATTCTTTGCGATATTAGCCACTACTGATATGTCTTGTCGTTATTACGTATTTAAAATGCATCTGTATTTGATTAAGCTTGGTCAAAAGCTGATGTAATCTATTTTGTTCAATCAGAGATAAGCTTTTAAAGCGGCCAATAGGAACTTTGAGAAAATCAGTAAACCCAAATGGGACATTTTTTAAGAAAATCGCTACCTGAAAAGCAAATGCCAAGCAGTGATTTTCATAGTAGATGCCCCAAATAAGAATGTAACTTCGGGGGCTAAGTCCGGCGAAGTAAATCAAAAAAACTGATTACAAGTTTTCCCTTGGACTTTTGTTTTTTGTAATGATAAATTCTGACATAATATCATATGAAAGTTAGCCTCAAACTTAGTTTCGAACTTAATTCGAGCTTAGTTTCGAACTTAGTTCCAGACATTTACCGAATAGGATTCCAATTCTGCACCTACAATAGCAATAATTTCTCCGGTATAACTTTAAAGCAATTTTTTTGGTGAACTAATTATCGACAAAGTGCCTTTTAAGAAATCGTAACAGGATCCTGGCACTAAAATTCGGACCAAAATATTGCCAAAACCGTTATTAAAATTATTAAAATGCAACTTTACATTGCATTACAGCATTACCACTGTGTTCACGCTTTAGCGTTAGCTGTTTCTTGAATGAATTTCGTGTAACAGTTATTTTAGCCAATTACATTTAATAATGTGGCAATTAATCAAAAAGAATGTTATCTTTGCCTAAGCTAGTTTCTTTTTAGATCATTGCCTTACCCTATAGTTGATGATTTTATGAGCATAACAATTAGACCAAATAAAGAATTGTGGGGCTTCGTCCTTACCTAGAAGAGTTTCCTGTTTGAAGTTCACATGCACTATTATATTCGTTCCAACTAAATAAGGCCACGTAGGGAAAGTGGAACTAATACAAACACCGGTACTTTGAAAACAAGCTTATGCAAAATGAAAATCAAAGATACAAGTAGGATACATGTTAGAAGACAATTTGCAAGTACAGCCCAGAGGCGTCTTGGACTTCTGGATGCGTTTTTACCAATATCTTTATTAGCTTATTTTCAAGATGTCATATTCAATAAATCCGTTTAAACTTGTGCAAATATCTTTATCATTTATTTCTGCAGCTGAGGCTGCTGCCGCAGGAGATAATGTGTCGGAGTCATCTTTGGCATCTTCTGAAAAGAACGATTATTTATTTGAATCGTCGACAGAAAAAGGAGAGAAAGGATCGATTGTACATAAACATGACAAGCTTTTAAAGTTTTTGATAGGTACAAAATCTATCTTGATGCAATTTAGAGAGTTAAGTCAAGAAGGTTGTGATATCTTATATCCTTTTACTGGTCTTAAAAATAATTATAAATATCGTCAATCATCTTCAATCAATGATCAACTATCAAATAATTTTCGTAAACGAGTTCTCGAAAGATTAAATCCACGTCGAAACACAATAGACGAACCTCAATACAATGCCTTAAACATTTATCTCAAAAATAAAGATATGAAATCGGCTGAAAACATTGTAGACCTTGATCCGAGTTCTATTTCATTCTTATTAAACAAACGCATTAACCAAAGTATAAAAAAGATAGATACTCTTGCTGCCCGTGTGTCTGATCCATGTTTGAAGATTTTAGTAATAGGAGAGGTGAAATCGAGGAAAAAATCTTTGATAAATGCACTTATGCATCATAGAATAGTGCCAATGGAGCTACAAATGGAAAGGGTTCTGTTCTGTGAAGTATTAAATGTAAAAGATAACTCTGGTGAAGAAGAAGTTCATGCTATTGAAGATATTGAAAAATATAATCGAAAAGATCCGGCAACATATTCAATAATCCCGTTAGCGAATCTATATAATACTATCAGTAATTCTACCAGGGAGATTGCTTGTATAAAGGTATATTTTTTTATGGCTCAACCATACTTCATATATTATTTAGGTAGATTACTCATTACTTTAATCTTAACTCATAAAGGTTTACTGTAAAGACAGTCGTTACATCCAAGCGACTCTTCTAAAAGACGAAATTGTGGATATTGCTTTGATTGATTGTTCCAATTTTCTTCATGACGCGATTAAAATCAGAGATGCCTTTATGTTTGTAGCTAGTTCTGAGAATTGTATTGTGTCATCGGTCAAAGATTTGTTATCTAATACATTTGATGAAAACAACAATTTATTTATTGTGTTAAACCAGTTTGATAATATTTCAGACAAAGTAAATTGCAAGCAGATGGTCACGAATAAAATTTTAGAATTCTGCCCAAGCATTAAACATGATGTAGAATTGCTCCATTTTTTGCCTACCAAAAAAAAGCCTTCTTTCAATGTCGCGAATGATCTTCATCAGCTTAGAGAATCTTTAGCCAATTTGGTAGCAAAAAAAATATTTAAGACCAAATTTGTACCGGCGCAAGATTACCTTCGTTCACTTGTTATAGATATTGGAGTTGTTGCAGAATTTAATTTATATATGGCATCATGTGAGTCTGAAAAGTTCGAACGAGAACTCGAAGAGGACAAAGCAGCTTACGAGCAATTATGCAAAGATTTAGATGAAATTAGTTCAAAAGCCAAAAAATACGCCAAAACAACATCCAATTTTATTAAAAAAAATACGAGAGACAGGGCAATAAATGCCATCGTTAATATGGAACAAAAACCCAACATTCATAAATTAGATTTTCGTGGGGTACTTTCAACATTAAGCTTCGCAAACAATGTCCGTGATGCTATGATAAAAGAAATTTCAGAAGAAATTTCTATGTGCGAGAAAATAGCGAAAAGGCATGTTGATATTTGTATTTCTAAAATAAATTCATTGGCAGAAAGATTGGAGGGGGAATTTAACGAAATCAGCCTTGAAGAAATGTATTCCGGCCATACGCTTTCAACTTATATTATTCAAATTTATTTCTTGGAATTTTTCTATTTCAAACAAAGCCGTGATCTGAGCACAAATGATGATAGACGCCTTACAATTGCAGCGACTTCAAAAATTCTTACATTTGCAAATTTATTGGGGGTTACAAACTTTCTAGGATTGCCTAAAACGCAACGTTGGGTATCACGTTTATTATGCATAGCAGGTAAGTTTGATTTATGCTTCTAAATCATCATAACCTTACTAAATGTCAATTTATTCTTTTATACACCCAATAGGCATTGGGCTTTTTGTAAAATATATTCTTTGTAATATGAGAATTTCTATAATACGAAAAATAGCTTTAAAAATACGAGATCAATTAAGTCAAACAAATTTCGTTGATAATGAAGCAGAACGTATAATGATGCAAAGCGATGTAAAGATTGATTTATCGATTGAATATTTGGAAAAACGAATTAAACAGACGATCCTCGCTGCACAACAAAGGCGCCTTGTTACTCTTACCGCATACAAGGGATCCATTGAGAGCGCTGAGTTTTTCAAGAAAACATTCAGAAGAGCCGAAATAATTTTCGAAAACTTAGATAATTTACGTAATATGACTGAGGAATTGGAATTTTAATCTTTTCGAGGTTTAATGTGATATCCTGACAAACGAAACCAAACAAAATAGAACTGATTTCGTTCATTGGGATTTCGGGCTTATACATGGGACCGAAACTATTTCGGCTTATTCGAAACTGCTTATGACATAAGCCGTAATAGCTTCGACTCAAGTCGAAATAATTTCGACATGTATAATCGGGGCTGCATGTTTTTCTATAAATGTCATTTATGCGGGGATGAATATTACATATCGAACATAAACGAATAGACGCATTTATTTATTATTAAGCATACCTAATTCCTTCATGTATACGTTTTTATTTTCCGGTTAAAATTGGTCGCATTTATAATAAAGTTCTATTATTTTTTTAAAAAGGCCTATAACTTACAATCTTGTGAGTATTAAATTATTTCCTATATAATTTTAAAAAATGAACTGGTTAAATCTTAATTCTAGTAATACCCAGATCAAATCTGTCAGGTGAAAATATTTTTTAACGGCTTGGCTCAGTTCAAAATTATTACTCTATAACTATTGGTGCTACAGCCTAAGCCACTAGGGTGTGCGAAATATTACGTATATAAACCATGGTGTTATACGTACAAACATATACGTATTACAAATTTACTTAGTATATTGATACTTTGCGATTTTTAAAAAACGTTTCATGGGCGTACAGTACAACGATAATATGAACGAATACAAGGAAAAAATAGGTTAAGGTACTCGCCAGAGGCGTGATTATGATGATTTGGGCAGTCTCCCTCAATGGCCGAAAAAATTGACTATGATTATCACTGAGGTCAAAAAATCCTAGAGCTGCTCCGCCGATTAGCAAAAATTTAAAATCCACATTTCGAACAATGAATTCGTTTTCGATTATGTAACTGCATTAACTATTCAATTAATCGTAATAGTAATGATTTGAGCAACATATTGATCACTAGGTAATCACATTGAGGCATTGAGGAAGCTGCTTGTGAACACCTTTGTCATGGGTTAGTATTCTTATGTATCCCTCCCTCATACATAAGTGCTATAACCATACTTACCCAATTTACGTACATTAAATAACTTTAACGAACTAATAAAGAGGCTTAAGTGTTTGCAGTTATACTAAGCTTTTTATACTGCAGTATGACTCACCTTTATTGCTTTCAATGACTCATCTTTCTTAATGACACTATCCAAGCCTCTGAGAGTTTAACATTGAGGCGCGGTTATCTTGATTTTTTGGAAAGTCACTTTTAGTCCGTAACGGTAACTGTAGCATTAAATCAGAGTTGGCAATGGACTATGTCCATCAAAATAATACTATCCCTTAAACCGTCTGGTTCTGCATACAGATTTGCACACTAAGAAAATTGAACATGAAATTTTTCTTTAAATTCTATTCTAATTGGCTGTGACGACTCTTCAAGACTTGAGTTACATAAAAACTCCACAGGTACAGCAGAATACTCCATGTGGCCTGAACAGAGTACAAATTCACACGATGGCAGAAAAGTATGCCATTTTCCTATACTTTGAGCCATCCTATCTCCTTAAAATCACCTTCAAAAACAAATTATGTAATGTTGGTCTTGAAGAATCTTCGATCAACTTTGATGCCATATTATAAAAAACGTCATGTGCAGGCTCCTTTTTTAGTATTAAATTGGGACATCAAAGTCCTATTACGATCAACGGGAACTAAATAATTTTTGGATACGTATTGTTAATGTAATCGATAACCAACATGCAGAACGCTTTTATATTATCTTAGGAAATATGGGGTACAGCTTAATAAAATTTAGAGTAAATGGACGAAAATAGATCAAAAATCATTTTAGGTACAAATTTGTACGCTAGACGGTTTAAGGGATAATCCATTGTTCCATTGATTATATTAGGTTTGCTAAACATTATAACTGATTCTGGGATCAGTCGATGCTAAAAATTGAATCTTTTTCACTAAAATTTTATATCGATGCATTTTTTTTTTTGGCTTTTTTTAAAAAAATTAAGCAAAAGCTTCAAATTTCAGCTTCAGCAATAACAATACTATATTTCTAATTTATAATTAATATTGGTTCATTGGTCCATTTAAGTAATAACTTCCAATTATTAGTTGGTGGTAGAATTAATTTGGCAAATCAGTACGGCAACGGCACGTGCCGTATTATTTCAAGAATTCGATTCTTAAATCACATGATAGAGATATGAGACCTAAATCCTTGATTAGTTTTGAGACCTAAATCCTTGATCGGTTTTGGGACTCGGAACTTTATTAATCCCATGAACTGCATTCATTGGACGTTAGATAATGTACTTGCAATAGTGGGCTCGGTTCTATTTTAGCGTGTCCGGTTATTTTGCCGGTGATCTTCTGATCATGTTACTTCATTATATAATCAGGATATTGTTTGATTATATTGTCTATTGTGTCGTTAAAGTAGCCGTAATTAGTAAATGGTCGGATTTTAATAAGTCCGTATTCCAGTAATTGTTTGTGTGCGTAATTGTTGTTGTTTAAGCCATGGTAATATGGTTTCACTTTTCAGTCTTTCCGTAGTTGGTGATTTTCCTAAGTATTTGAATATTCTACTTCTTTCCGTTCTAGGGAATATTCTAAGATATTTTGTTTCATTGGCTTTGGTTAGCCTTTTCTTGATTCGTGCTAAGAATTTTAGGTTTTCATTTAGTATTTTCATTTCGTTTTCATAAAATTTTTCTAATTGTAAGATTTCTTTAGATTCTAATAGATCACTATTGTTTATAGGATATGCATCTATTTCAATTGCTCTTTCTAATGTTGTTTGTTCAACTTTGTCATATTCTTTTTCTGAATCGTATTCTTCTTGTGTTAGTGTTAATAAAGTGGTCATTAAGAGTTCATATGTTGAAATATGTTTAAATATTATTTCTAAATTCTTTTCTATTTCTGGTACTAGTAAGAATTGTTTTACTTGTCATTTTGTATAAAAGTCAAAGTGTTCATGTTTTTCTGGTTCTTTGTTTGTGAAATTTTGTCCTTCTAGATATGGGTGTATAAAAGTAACTATTTCTGATGGAAATCCATGTTTTTCTTCTGTTGGTTCATATGTTGATCTTGCTACTTCTGAGGCAAATTTTTCTTGTATTTCTAATCCAATTTCTTCGTAAACTTCTCGGATTCCTGTTACTATTTCTTTTTCTTCTTCTCGTGCATGTCCTCCTGGTGAATCATAATATCCATGATATCGCTGGGTAATATTATTTCGTAATCCTAAGAGGATCATTGGTTCAGGTTTAGTAGTAAATATTATTACAATTACTACTTTAATAAGTCTTCTTTTGGTTTCTGATATTCCTGTGTTATTTCTTTCCATTTTGGATATTGATTTTCACTTTTATGTTTTGCTAAAAGGTAATATTCTTCTTTAAGTTTTTCTTTATCTCGGTTTTTCAAGATTTTTAGTTTTACTTGGTTTCTATCTAGATATTTAATAGATTTGAATAATGGCTCTTCTTCCTTTAGAATGCTAAAGTTTTGAAGGTATGTTTCGTATTCGAATCTTGCTTCTTGTAGTCAATACTGGCTAAATTGTGCTGTATAAGTAGTTGCGTCTCTTATTTCAAATCCTATATAATGTATATGTTTTGAAATTTGTTCTTTTAGTTTTTCAAATTCCTTTTCTCTTTTCTTTTCTATATCTTTGTCTTTTGACTTTGGTAATTTGAATTGTAAAACTTCTTCTTGTAAATCTTTTAGTTTTTGTTTTTTTCTATAAGATCTTGTATTACTTGTTGGTCGTATATTTCACTATCTTTAAGAAATTTATTTTGTTTTGGCATAATTTTAATTTTGAATTTTCTTTCTAATTCTTTAATTTCGTTTTTAGTGTTTGTATAAAGTTCTTGTCTTTCGTTTAATTGTTCATCTAATTTTTTATAGAGTTCTTTTTGTTTTTCTTTGGGTGTTGGTGTCTTCAAAAATTTCTTTTTTTTCTTCTTTTGTTAAGGAGAGGTTGTTCCAAAAGTCAATATGGTTGGTCTGATTCATAAAGATACCAATAAAATAATCCGTAATGTTGTAAGTCTTTTGACCAGTAAATTTTGTTATTATTTTCTTTTATATTTTGGAAATTTGCTGAGTATATTTCTAAAACTTCTTTAGAATTTTCAAGGGTTTCTTGTCTTGTTGTTGGTTTTAGATTAAATGAGTAAAATTCTCCTTTTAGATTCTTTTGGATTTCTCTTGCAAGTTTTCGTAAGAGTTGCAGTTGTTGTCTTTCGTCGTATGTGGTGGTTGTTAGATTGTCAATTCTTCTTTCTTCAGTTTGTATTTCTTCATATAAATTTTTAAGTTCCTGAGTTATTTCTTCTAGTTCTAAGTTAATTGGATCTTGTAAGTATATTTCTTCACCTTTTTCGTATTCTCTTAATAGTTGGTTAAAGAATTCAATCATTAGATTTAGCAATCTCTTTTGCTGTTTCTTTGAAGATTTCAGAGAGCTTATAAGTAATGTATTTAATTATTTCGTATGTCGCTTCTTGTTTGTTCTCAATTTCTTTTAGTTCGGAGATTAGATCAATATATCCTAGTGGGAAAATTTCTTCTTCAGTTAATTTTTGTTTCAGGTTCTGATAAAATAATTGTTGTTCTTTATCTTCAAGTTTTAATGCTATTTGTAGATTTGCTACAATATTTTGGTAGTATAATGCTTTATCGTATCCTTTTGAAATTATTTCTTCAATCATGAAGAATTTTCTATTTGTATTTTTATTTCAGTTTCTTCATCTGAATAATCGTAATCGTGGTTAGGATATTCTAATTGTCCTGTTCGTTAATATTTTCTTAGTCTTGCTCTATAAAATCTTGTGAGTCGTTTATATTGGCTTGCTATTTTTTCTTCTTTTTCGTATTTTCTGTGAATGTAAATGTATTTTTCTGGTTGAAATTTGACTAATGATAAATTGCTTATTGCTTGTTGTAGTTTTATTAATTCTAAAAATTTTTCGTTTGCAAAAGCGTTGGTCAAATCTAGTCCTTC